AGACACCGGCACAAGATAGTATGATTTACGCCGCCAGTATGTTGAGACCGAAACAATTTTAAAGCGTCTCTTAGGGTAAGCCTCCTGTTTTGCTGCGCCGACGCTGCGTAATGCATTGACAGACAGTCAATTCGCAGTATGGCAAGGGAAGAATTTTTATTCGTCTTGGGAATGGGAGGAATTTTGTTATCCTCCTTGGCCGGCAGGGCGGGCCAGGAAAACTAATCACTGGACCCGCTGTATAGCAGAATTGTGCAAGTAAACAGGGTCCATACCACGACGCTTGAAGGTGACAAGGGCTAGCTAAAAGTCTTGACTGCTTGCGGAATGCTGGGATAGGGTGCCCAGACATGGACTTACTCTAAAGCCTTAAATGTGTTCCTGGCTGCTCACCAGTACAGCCAGGCCTTCACAAAAAGATGCACAGAGTGTTTTACCCTTTTGAACTGTTTGATGATGTGAAATCCATGCATTCGCAAGTGCGAATTCATCGCGACACACGGTGTTTCGTGGGGCTGAGACGCATGAAATCAATCTGCAGCAGAAAAAGAGAGAACCCTTGACTTATTACTTCCATAATCACGTTGAAAGTAGCGCGTGCGGAGAGGCGAACGCAGAGGCCCATGAGATCTTTAGATGATATGCCGTCATGTTTTTGATCCGCTTGCGTTTCGAGAGCGTGGCGGTGGGATGTGTGGGGCGGAAGGGGTGGGCAACTCTTTGCAACATAAACCCTAGGCCCTAAGCCGCCCCCATGTGTTTGTAAATGCCGGTGCTGTGTATAAGCACCCCTTGAAAGAGGCTGCGAAGGAATCGGGGCTGTAAGGGTTACACAGGGTTACCATGCCTCCGCTATTCAACATAGCTCCAAGACTTACCCGCCTGCATTTGTTATGAATACCGGTGCCGTTTGTGAACACCATTGTTGCTAATACATATCAGTATAAACAGGCTCCCAAAGAATCACTGTGAGGAGTAGGTGTTGTTAGGGTTGCCATATCCATTCTAAACGAAATATCTGTTGCAATGGGCTTTGAAAACCACACGCCCAACGGCGTCAACTTCTCGATAATCATTGCGTTTTGTACCTACATTGACATGTGTCATTGCCATTGCTTGCTTGCTTGCTTGTTTGTTTGTTTGTTTGTTTTTTGTTTGTCTCTTCTTCCAGTTCTTGCCATTGTTACGTTTCACTGCTCTTACCGAGTTTTCCAGATTCAAGCAACACATACGAAAGCATTTTTTTTCATATTGGCGCTGTGCTGCTTCCACTGTACATACTATTGATATTGCCTTGTCGAGCATCAGACTGCTCGAGCATCCAAGCCCATGACGAGCTGTACAAGGAAGTGAGCAGATATGAGCTTGCTTTCTCTCTGGCAGATTTTCTAGATCTGCTTCCCAAGCGAAAACACGTTGTTGGTTACTATTTTCTTTATCCGCAGCTGTGACTACTAAGTACTCTACCAGCTGTCAGCAAGTGCCCCAAATGCTACGTATGCCATGCTTTCGGCCTTGTGCTCTAGCCAGCGGATTTTGGGGTCGCGTTTACATACCGACTGAGTGTTGTCCAGATTGAGGCTATGAATGTGACTTTTGGTGCCAACTCCTTATGAGTATTTGCATACTTGTATAATTTGGATTAGCTGCTGTAAAGTAGAGTACTTGTGGTTTCAGGAAGCCCAGTAATGTGGGCTTTGCCGAGAAAACTCACCAAAACGCAACAAAAAATGAAAACACAAGACACATGGAAAAAGCACAAATTCATTCTGGGTCCCTTGCGGCTTCTGCACTTCGGCAAACGTGCTCAAGGAGCTTTATGGGCAGCGTGGGTTGCGTACTGAGGCGCCTTGAGGTCGCCGACCAGGTCGAAGACACATCGCAGCTGACCAAGCTGTTAAGCCAAGTGTTGGCCACGGAAAGAGACACCTTCAGCGTCTTTTGCTGCAGGGCTGGGGTCAATGAAGACATGAAGCAAATGTTGGACAACAGATTACTGAATGTCTTCCAGGCTCTCTCACTGTTTTTGTGCATGGTTGGTTTGGCAAGACTTTCATATGTAGTTTCCCAAAATAGGAGAACCCCATATAGACCCCAATATACTATAGTCCTTATTATGGGGATCCCCAAAATGGTACCCCTAATTTTGGGAAACCCTCATATGCATGTCCATGCGGGCCAGGTGCCGCCAGAGCAGCAGCGGAGATTGGCCTTTCACCTCATGGCCAACACACGCAGCTGCCGAAGATGGGTGAGGAGCATTCATGTTTTCTGTTTTAGGCCACTCCACTACTTGCAATGATGAAGTTGCAGGAGGCAAGCCTTGTCAGAGAAGCTAATCAACTTCATTGCTGCAATACAGAGCAGAGCCCTGAGTCTTCTTCAAGGTCATATGAGGGACTTGCAGACTTGCCAGTAGCTGTAGCTGCGAGGCAGGTATTTGAGCAATCCATTTCACAACTTCTCGCATGGGCGGTGGCCCAAGCAGCAGTTGCTTGCATCCAGCGCTGTTTTGCAACGTAGTCCGAACAAGACTTGGGCATGTTGAGGCTTGATGTCCTCTCTGAAGCTCGGTTGTACCTACACAGCATCAAGTCCTACACGCTCCTGTCAGAGGCATGGCAGCTGCACTGTCGCAGGTTTCTAGGGTTGGGGAGGCAGTCGTCGAGCTTGCCAGGTCACAGTTTTCTGGTTTTTGATTGCAGCCTTGGGCCACGACGTCGGCCACCTGGGCGTCAACAATCAGTTCCTTGTCCTGGCCCAAGATGAGCATGCGAACTCTGTGGCATTCAGTGCTGGGGGGTCACTGGTGACAGGTGGAAACCTCGCATGCGTTGGCGTTAAGGCTGCGTGGTGTCAGCTACGGCACCTGTTTAGCTTCAAGCTTGCTTCGGGTCGGCAAGGTATAACGATAAGTCAGTCCTGGAGAACCTGCACTGCAAGCTGCTTTTCGAGGCAAGGGAAGCTGATTTATGGTACCCAAAATTACCCCAATAATGGAGAATCAAATGGAAAAGAAAATGGAAAATGAAATGGAAGCTGGGATCATATAGGGGTTATATTTAATGTTGAGCTCAGCTGCTTCAAGCCATTGTCATAAAGGTCCTCAGCGATGCCAAGACGAACGTGCTGGAGGTACTTACCACCAATCAAGCAGCTTGTGGCAAAAAAGCTGTGAGATGTATATAACCCCAGTATACACCTTATTATGATATAATAGTGTCCATTTTTTTCCATTATCCCTATATAGCCCCAATAATGTACCCCATATTCTATCGGGGGACTATACCCTAAACCCCAAACCTATATGCTCAACCCATTATAGTATTTTCCATTTTCTTTTCTAGTATCCTTATTTTCTATCTAGTTAAGGGAGATTATATGCTCAACTGGATTACTGCATGGAGGTCTTAGACAAGGCCGACTACAAGTTGGCCAGATCAGGGATGGCTGGCACCCGAGACTGAGATCTGGTTGACTATTGGAGATATATAGGATTAATGGAGAAGAAAATGGAAACGACTAAACTAGGGTATATAATATATTCGGGTTCTAATAGGAATAGGGTATGTATTGGAGTTATATAGGGATGTTGGAAAAGAACATGGAAACTACCACGGTGTATAGGGGTTATATGGGGGATAGATAGGGATAATGGAAAAGAAAATGGAAACTACTATAATAGGTCGAGCATATGGCGTTTAGGGTTTAGGGTATAGTCCCCCTCAAATAGATAAAACATGGGGTATATCATTATTGGGGTTGTATAGGCATAATGGAAAAGAAGCTGGAAACTACTGTAATAATCGTATAATAGGATATACAACATCAGTTTTCAACTTGTCAAAGGTGGAAGTCATCCTGGGCACGGACATGGTCCGCCACAACGAGGACATCAAGGCGAGAGAAGGTTTTTCAAACAAAAGTCACAGTTGGTGTCTTTGCTGCGAGGCCTTGTCGATCGTGTATGCCATGCATCAGGAGGCCCTGGAGTTCCAGTAATTATGCGGAATTGGCAGCTCGACCGTATGAGAGAGAGCGAGCGAGAGAGAGAGAGTGCAAACGCCCGAAGAAGACCATCGTCAAGGGTGAGCAGCCTCTCAGCCTATTGTAATATATCCCCAATATAACCCCAGTATACACACCCTATTATAATATAGTAGTTTCCATTTTCTTTTCCATTATCCCAATATAACCCCAATTAAGGTCATCATGTGCAATCACTTTACCATGTTAATTTAAGCGGGGCAAAACGGGTGAGAAGCGAATCGATGCCCGTGCACTGCGGAAGGTTTTCGAAGCAGCTGCAGAAGATCCGAGCCAGCGTGAGACTGATCTTGGAAGCCATGCGGTCCCATTGCAAGACATCTCGTTGTGTGTGATCTTCCTTTTTTTGCATCTTGTTTGACGACGCCGACTGCAGCAGAGCAGCGCTGAGGCTGAGCCAGGCTTTGCAGGAGGATACCAAGAGCCGCCTCAAGGCGCACATCTCATGTGGATGCTGATGAGACAGACAGCTCTTTGTAAGGCCAGTTTGCTTCTGTTTCAATTGCACCAGCCTTGACCACCCACAGCTGGACAGCATACAATAGCATTGGATTAAAGTTGCCGCCGCAATCCCACCCAAAAGCTGTGTCGTTTTGTACTTTGGCTAGAAGGTTAGGCGGTCCTCGGCCACAATAGGAGATCCAAAGGAGACAAGCGATACAACTCTGTACCTGGGTGCATCACACTATCCGTTCCTGTGATCAAGCAGAGGACAAGAAAGGTTGCGAGGAAACAGGAAGGGAGCGGATGGGGACAGGACTCGAAAATGGACAATTCGAAGGTGTCACGCCATAAGGAAGACGAGACCGGATATGATGAAACAAGACGAGAGACTAGAGGAGACAGTGAAGGGAGATGATGGGCAATTGTAAATCACAATTCTGCAACAGGTGTGTCGTGAGAAAGGGGCCCAGACAAGAATAGAATGGAGAGAAGACTCGCACCTCGGCACCCGGCATTGAGTTGGTGATCTGAAGCTCGGAGGCAAGAAGGGAGGAAACAGACTAGAACGGAAGTTGGGAAGGGGGAAATGTCGGAATCCGGCCCATTGCCTCATCATTCGATTCAGTTTATCGTGGCTACCATTCTAACCCATCCTGCATTTTTTGGGAGAATGGTCGTTGTATCAATTGCGTCAGTGCTATCTGATTGCAAGTGATGCTCTTGCACAACAAGTAACTGTGACGCAGGTCTTATCATCTTTGTGGTTGCCTCAGTCTGTACAGAATTCCCTTTGTAGAAGAAGGGAGTGTCACGTGACCGGCCAGGCTTCACACTGCAGATGTTTCCAATCCGATGAAGCCTTGGGTAGTTACCTTGGTGATGCTCCGTACACCACTTGCAAGCAGACTTCAGCTCTGTATAGGCGATCTGCGAGCCCTTGGCAGACCTGTGCTTGGAAGAGTTCTTCGCGCAGGGCGACAAAGAGAAGGTTGGGGTGACTATCAATCCGTGCTTCCGTTTTGGGAATCCTATTCAGTGCATCTCCGGCCCGGACCCTCATGTAAAGATTATGACGCGGGGCGTGGTGTAGTTTTGATATGGCTTGAATTCCCTGAGCGACCGCAGGGTGTTGTGCTGGTTGAAGGCCGGCCAAAGTTGGCAGGTGTGGATGGCCGATACCATGCCGATACCACCGCAAAATCAGCTCAACACCACACAGAGTACCTAAGTATACTCCAGAAAATGCGAACGTCCAGAACATGAGGCTGCCTAAACAGGCTAAAACCCGATACCCAACCGATACCTCAAACCCGCTTGCAGACGGTCTTGGGCTTTCTGCCTCTTTGCATGTAATCTAGGAAAATGGCCGCCGTGGTGGACAGCCTTTGAGAAAGATATGCGTGAAGAGGGTTGTGCAATTGTGGACAGTTTTCGCACAGATTACCAGCTCGGAGGATCCACAATATTTGTGTTCGCAAATTGAAGAAGAGACAAGGGGCTCAGAATGCGGGGTTCATTGTTTTGGGCCGGTGTAGCAGCAACGAAGGCGCGCTGTAGAAAATGGGAAGTAGCAGGTTCTTGTACGGAATTGGCGAGAAAAGGGGCTTTCTTGGAGTTAGCAAGGCGAATACAAGCTTCAGCAAGCACGCCCCTTGTCTAGACGAAGGCGGCCCCACCCAAATCTGATGATCAAGGCTTGGGTAAGGACCTTTAGAATGGGGTTTTGTAATATTATTCTGACTGTTATTACTGCTATCATTACGATTACTAACTACTATCACTGTATTATTGTTTTTAATATTACTACTAGTTTTATTAAGTAGTACTATTAATTACTACTATTAGTATTAATCATTACTATTGGGCTCTCTGACCCTTTGCGCAGGAGCTTGGCATCCCGGTGCAGATGCTCAATGACAGAGACAAGGTGAACCGGCCAAACTCCCAGGCCCAGATGGCTGGAAGAAGCACAGTCCATCATGATAGTAAGAATAACAGCAATGATAGCAGTCAGAATATGGGTAATGATAATAAGAGTATGTATAAGAATCGTGATACCTGTAATAATTATTGCTTGTTGTAATACTAGTAGTAGCAATTAACAATGATAGCAGAAACCAATAATAATAGTAGTAATAGTATTACTTTTATTATGAGTAGTATCACCCTAGTAAAAGTAGTAATCATAGCAATAATAACAGTCCAAGGACACCTGGATGCAGAAACCTTGCAGCCAGGTTGGCTTCATTGAGTTCGTGATTGCACCGTTGGCAGAGCAATTGGTCAGCCTCTGAGCGGTTAAAGACAACTTGTTAAGGTAATTTCCCTTAAACAGGGGGAGCCCAAATGTAGACCCCCAAAATACTGTAATCCTTATGATGGAGACCCCCAGAAAACTATCGCTAATTTTGGGAAATTCCCATTTTCTCTGCCTGCATTATAGTTGTATTGTGGGCTGCTTCAATTGTGCAGGAGTCAAGTCTGTGAAGCAGAAACCCTGGAGTGCTGAGGCGCTGATATTTCCCGCGCTGGCTTTCCTGCCGGCTAACCTCAGCCAGGGCCCAAAATGCTCCCATTTGTTTGGGTCGTGTTCTGAACCATGCTGAGCCAGGCGCGAACACGCAACACTGGGCTGAGATTTGGAAGCAGACGCCGCCGGCCAGGCTGTTCATGCTCTTGATGCATTGCGGCGTGCCGTTTTGGAAGAGTTTCTTAGACGCTTACGTGTGGCACGCTCAGGTCGAGTGCATCGGCGGAAGAGCTTGAGAAGTTTGACGCGCGGATCTCCAAAGCTATTTGCCCAGCTGTGATTGCTTGAAGCTGCCGGCAGCCCCAGAACCGGCTTGCCGAAAGGTCACTGGCCGCTTCAAAGTGTTGGACTTGGACACGTGGCTGGCTCCATGCTGGCGGTCCATTGCTCGTACTCCAAAGTCTTTGCATCAGAGCTGTCTCAAGGCCTTCAACCAGAGGCGGGAGGTAAACACGAGGCAGTCCATATCGGCATCTGCCTGAGATGCCTTTGTAATCATTGCTTGCTTTTAATTTGCCTTTAGGCTGATGTTGCTGTTCCCCAGGCACAGAGCGAGGTCTCCACGTGAATGTTTCTTCGCATATCGATGAACATTTGAGTGAGTTCCTTCAAGAGGCAGCTCACTCCAGGCTCGCCAGTGCCGAAGGCACTGGTGTGCGCAAACAGGTTTCACGAGTTTCAGAGTGCTCTGACGTGATGGCGAGCAGACACAGCTCAAGTAAGCACAGGGCACAAGGATCACTCGCAACTCAAGACATCAAGGCCTGGCCTAGCAAGGCCTATCATGGCCAGGACGTGGGCTGCTAGGATACCTCCTTCGGCCTGGATCGCTCGCATTGTTAAAAAATCATTGCGGGAATATGGGTTAGTATTGGGATAATGGGGAATCAATGGAAAAGAACATGGAAAATCCAACGTCAACGGGCTCTATATAAACGGGTCGAATACTTCGGCACTTTGAGCATGTTATGGTGGATATGGGCCAATGCGATCGCACGTTCAACAGACACATGATATAACCCTATATAATCCCAGTATAATCCCAACATAACCCCAATATAGCCCCAATTAACCCAATATAACCCCAATATACCCCCATGCAAGGTACCCTGAGGGCGTGAAACCTGGGGACCAGATTTCTGGATCCGAACGGCTCTAAGACATCCATGCTTCACCTCACCTAGTAATAAAATACTATAATAGTATACTATTATATACTATAATATAAGAGAATATTGGGTTTATGTAGGGACAATGGAAAACAAAATGGAAACTACTATAATCTTGTTTGCTCAGATCATGATTAATGAGCCCCCTCCCCTTAATAGGGAGTATAATAGGGATCCTAATGCTAAGGCCCATTAAAAGGAGGGGGTTTTATTAAACAGGGGTCTACATCATTGCCTGGTCTCCTGCGGCTCATGTTGCACCAAGGAAGGCGAGTACTTCAGGCCAGAGTCTTCCACGATTCCAAAGTCTTGACACGAAGTGCGTCCGCTTCAGGTACAAGCACGTCTTTGTAAAGCCCCCTGATGATGAGGACGTTTGCTTTCTTGCAATAGCTTGTTGAAAGGGTAAAGATGGCGAGATGAAAGACAGGTCTTGCACGGAAAAGTCGCGACACAGAAAACATTCCACGATGCTTCACAATGATTTTCTGACTGAGCCTGACAGCTCAAGCTACCTTCGCAGGATCGAATGGAATCGCTGCAGGTGGCTGCAGACATCAAATGCGCGGCCTGTGAGGCAAGCAGCCCAGTCGATATTGGAAGGAGGGATCCGACCAGATCAGCTGCTTTCTGAAGTTCTGCCCTGCTCTCCGAAGCCCTGTCTTTCGAATGGCAAGGAAGTTCTTGAGCTGTGATAGCTATGATCCTGTAGTGCTCTCGGTCCTCGTCTCCCTCTGTCTTTCTCATGGGCTGTTACTGCATCTGTGCGTTGCCTGTACGGAGTTGGCTATGTCTAGCAAAAGTCATGTCAGCCCGGGTATGTGTATTCAGTCGTGATGTTGGTGGCAGATTCTTCTCCAAAGTCTGCTCCAACGGGCCGAGTCCATGACGGAGGCAAAATCCGCACTCGGGGAGACGAGGAAGTAAAGTAAATGTTGCGATCCGCTTCGACTCAGAGGCAGAGCCGGTTGCAGATATCGGAATTGCCAATTCGAGGACCATATCATGGACCAGTTCGATGGTGAGCTTACAGAGCCTGTCGCGAGGACCTCAGCATGTTGCGAGTTCTTGCAACGACCTTCTCGAAGCCGCTGGCTGCAAGCGTGCAGGAGTTGACGGACAATCCACAGGACTGCAGTCATGTCTGATAATGCAGACAAGCTCTTTGGCCTGCTTCTGATTCGACAGGAGAGCACTTGCGTTGTGTGAGTCCTTCAGGTCTTGACACGGCAGCATTGCTCCACACTTCCGCAGCTATTGTGGCTCGCTTGGCAGAATACAAAGGTCCCAATGGCGAACCACTCGGCATTGCTCTCCACTGCAAAGTCTCAATCGTGAAGTCGCGCAGCCTAATGAGTCAGCTTCAAGAGCAAATGGGCGATGCAATGGTGTGGTTCCCAGCCAGGCCGGCCTCTTGCTTCGCAGGGCGCGCCTTGCATGAAACTCGAACACGTTGCTGTGAGGCGTAGCTCCAAATGTGACCGGAACGCTGGGTGGGACACTGATTAGCTTCCGTGGTGAATATAGCCAGTCCAGCGTGAATGCGTCACAGAGGCAAAGCACTCCGATGTCCAAGCTGAGGTTTAGGGTTGCCGAGTCGGACAATACTTGCCTGCAGCTTAGCATGGGGCTTGCTGGCTCTTGTTCGTCCCATTGGTCATCATTGATCTGCAGGTCACATTGGTTCTGCAGCTTGGGGATCTGCCACTCTATCGCAGCTGGAGATGCCACGCCAGGTGGGCTCAGTGTTGCTCAGCCTGGCTTAGCTTGGTGTGCTTGGTGCCTGTTCTGAAAAGCAGCGCTCTGACAGAGGCGGCTGAAGTCACCTTTTGTGGCGGTTAGCCTGGAGCCCGATATGGCAGTTTCCCAAAATAGTGGGAACCCATTTTAGACCCAAAAATGCTATAGTCCTTATTATGGGGACCCCCAGAATGGTACCCCTAATTTTGGGAAACCTGCAAACATGAATTACAAGACCATTGCCGTCTTCTGTCCCGGATCCTTGGAGGTGGACACGAAGCGACATACGCTGGCCTTTGTGAGGCACAGACATTCTGCCCTCATATGAGCTACAGTCTAAACTCCTAGAATCCCCCTCATAAACCCTACAATATTCCCCCATATAATTCCCTACATTACCGCCTTTAAGGAGTTTAGACTATAGCTCATATGCCTTTTGGTTTGCGGATGGCTTACTGCAGAGGACCTTCAACCTGGCGAACTGGCTGCTTTGACAGGTAGCTTTGGTCTGACAGATGATCCAAGGATTATATTAGGGGTATATAGGGGTTGTATAGGGATTCTATAGGGATAATGGGAAAGAAACATCCAAACTACTATAGGATTATATACGCTTTGAGATGTACTCTGCCCGGTGCTGCATCTCACATCTCTCAGGCAGCGCTGAAGTCGAATCAAGGACGCGTTCGTTTCTCCTGCTCCGACTTCTCAAGGCATCTGTCGGACCTTGAAAGAGAGAAGTTGATATGAACTACGGACTAAATTTAGGTTGGGGGGACCTATAGCCAGGGCTCATATAGCTCTTGTCCAGGCCTTGCCAAGCTGGAACCTGTTCTACCTAGCAATCGAGACGGTGCTTCTACGACCACTTGCAGGACTTGATATTCCAAAACAATGCAACAAAAAGACGCTGAGGGTCACTTGACTGGTCCAGCGCTTCTTTGTGCAGGGTGGAGCACGAGCGCGGATGTTGTGGCCGTGCAAAGCTGGGCTTACCACCAGAAAATGCCCTTGGATCCGCAGAGCAAAAGCATGGCTGCGGTCTGGCTGTGCGGCCCTGATTTTTTTGATGTCCTTGACTGGGTAACCTCAAATTCCTAGAAGAACTCCCCCAACTCATCCTTTGATACAAATTAAAGGACCGGACAACCCCACATGTGTAGCCTGACGGGAAATCTAAATGAAATCCTCTTCAGATGCCGTCGCCCGCCGATATAAAGAAGAAAAGGACGACGAGAAAAGGAAGACGAGACGATGACTGCGTGCCTTGATCACTGAGGCGACCAGTGCAGAATGTTCTCATGCTCCTAGATCAGGCTCGTCTTGTTCCTGAGTGGCCTGAAATCTGAAAGGTTATACTATACTATAGTATTAATATACTATAATATAGTATTATTACACTATGATATAGTATTACTATACTATAATATAGTTTTACTATACGATAATATAGTATTGCTATACCATAATATAGTATAATATGATAGACGAGGTTGCTCTTTCCATGGGCCAGTCCCCACTTCTTGGGCTGGATAGCTTGGTGGAGGCCGCCGTGGCCGTGTGGCAGTCCTGTAGTTCTTGGTTCATAGGATTTAGGGTTTAGAG